GTACATATGGTGTGGAGGGGATCATGGGGAAGACAGTGTAGCACAGAGAAGACAAGTAGTGACTCTGTGGCATCTTACTACACTGATGGGCAGTGACTGCAATGGGGTATGAGGGGGACTTGATAATATGGGTGAATGTAGTAACCACATTGTTTTTCATGTGAAACCTTCATATGAGTGTATATCAATACCTTAATAAAAAATTATATATATATAAAAAAGCTCTGAGCACCATAGCTGACACAGTAAAAAAAAAAAGAAATACTGTTAGTTTTAATTTGAGCTTATTTAATTTATAGAGATGGAACTTTGTTGACCATTTATTTGTAGTTCTTGAATTGTCTATGAATAAATTTCTTTCCCAGGAAGCATTTACACTTTTTAAAATAACTTGTATTAGTGCCTTGGTATTTTCCCAGATTTTCATTTGTCTGTTAATGTAGTTCAGAGATGTAAAATATATCATTAATTATATTGAACTTTGCTTTTTTGGTTTTTCCTGTTGTTTTTGTAATATACCTCATCATCTAAAGCTCCATGAGCATTTTATTTTAGCTCCTTTCCTGTTTCATTTCTAACAATAAAGGCAGCTAGAATTTCCTTTAGTATTGGATATAGTACATGTCCCAATTTTTTTCCCAAACAACCCATTTAACTATCATGGTTTATTGAATCATTCTTCTTCCCCCCTATTGGAAATAAAGTGATATAGCTTGTGACTCAAGTCCAGCTGGACACTAGATTGTCCAGGCCCCTGAGTGCCTCCCTGGCAATGTCCCAGCTCTGTATGCCTGCCATGTGCTCTGCATTTCTCTGTCCACTCTCATCCGGGAGGTCAGCAAGTTGGAGGGAGGAATGTAGGACTTGTCCCCAGAGATGGGGCTTGAGAAGGGTCTGGGCCAGATGCATTTGGCTCTCCAGGGAGTGTTTAAATCCTCTCTGCCCTGACACTGGCTCAGGTGCTGAACTGTCACCTTGCAAAACAAATGCTGTTGTGGAGACTGCCACTGGTGTCAAGACAGACTCTCTGGAGACTTCAGCTGATGACATGAGGGGGAAGTGCAAATGGCCCAGTGCTGCCATGGTTTAGAGGGGTTGGTTGCCTCAGCAAATGTTGATCATGAATGCATAGAAGTGTTTAGTTTTGAACTAGAATTTTTGTATTATTTTTGGGAAACCTCATATATTAATCTCCTTGTTCTTCATTAACAGTCAGAAATCCAAATGTTGTAGATGACAGCTAGGGTAGCTTCCCAGGGCTTTCTCTGGCCTCAGCCTGTTCCCTTAAGTATAGAGTTTGATGACTTTTGGTAATTTTCTCCAATACTACAGCCCCAGACAAGCTGTGGAACATCCCCAAGGTGTATTAAAATTGACTACTAAGCCTCCGCCTTCTGCAAAATAGCCTAATGGATTTTATGTGTTTATCTCCTATAGTTTATTTTTGCTTTTTGCTTTGTTTTTTTGGTCTTTATGCCTACAGCCCTTCATCTGGTCAGCCTGAAAGGTGTTAACTAGTGTCCATTCAGGTGTGCAAGTGGGTAAATTGCCAGAGTTCTCCAGCGGACTCCCCGCCCTCCTTGTGTATCTCCCAGATACCTCTGTGGGGTGAGGAGTGCAGGAGCGCTGTGTACCCGTGAGCCTTCATCCTAAGTGTTGGCTGTAACTCTAAGGTCTTTTGCCTGTCTCTCTTAACATGTGAGATCTGAGCTCCTGCAGGT